CCTCCATTAACGGAGTAATTTTATGGTTGATAACTTCTAGATGATTTCAATTCCTATCGTTCCTCGAGAAAATTTCTCTGATGACGAGGGAAATGAATCTCGTTATTACTGTACTCGTGAATTGTTATTTTTATTGCGTATAAATGTTTTTCGAGCTAGAAACTTTCGTTATAAAAAATGAAACTTTTATTGCCGAAATACCAGCTTAATTATTTCAACGAAACGTGTTTACCTGCATTTAATATACCCAGAAATCGTAATTGCGAATGAATTTTGAATAAAAAGAGAAACAGAGTATTCTATAATGCAATAGCTCGGTGTAACGGCCGCTAATGAGTAAATATAATGTTAAATATGGGCACCAAAAGTTTCTGAGAGTTGCTGCTTTTCAGCAGAAACAATTGGTTATGCAAATTAACGCTAGCATTTGGTATTCATGAGCGAGTACAGCGTCGACTGGGTAAACCGTCTACTTATTAAAACGGTTAATTGATACGAAATCGATGAGGAGGTGCGTTTATTGAGCGGAAGTTGGGAATCGTACGCAAATCGTTCCGCCGCGTTTACCATCCCATAATGGCCGAGACGAGCTCGCCGTTATTCTCGTAACAAGTAGGTCTAACTGACTATAATTAGCCATTAGTTAAAGGGAGAAGGTTTTATTAGTCGAAAGTTACTGCTACGATAAGCATCCATTACTAAAACTATCAATATATTCTTGCGGTAACATAATTATTTTATCACAGAAGCGCTGATCGAATTATGCGTTACACGTTGACAACAATTTATTCTACACGTACCGATTTATAATTTGCAAAGAGTTCTAATTCCGGATCTCCAATTAGAGAAGGTATTCGTTCGTTAAATGCTATACAATTAATTGTTAAAAACTTTCCCTGCCGAGTTGAATGGTGTAATGCACGAAACGCACACGGTGTCCGAATATAAATGCAAGTCACAGCGGGACGATGTGGGTCAACGCCCCCGGTACGCTCTTGGACCGATTCCGCAAATTTACCTGCGTGTCGTGCACCACCATGATAGTGATTCAAAAAAGGGTATCCGGTCTCCTCGTTGGTGAATGACGGTGCCGCGTTGCGGGCTTTCTTCGCGGCGGGGTACGAGTAAAGGAGCCATTACCCACCCAGTAATGGAGGTATTCAGCTGGCTCACCTTTGACCCGCGGATCTCGGCAGCGGTACGCGTTTACCCAAGGAGATAGCTGACTGGCGACAACTTTTTCCTTCTTTTTCGACCGGCACGAATTCCTCCGGTAGACCGACTGCCTCCGGGAAATCGTCGCCGGGCTCGTTTGAATCGCGAAACGTACGCTGTCACAACTCATTTGTCTCTCTCCGTATCGCGGAGCCTCTGCGTCTTAACGGTTACTAGATAAATACCGGATGATCACCGAGCCTCGACGTGGAAATCATTGAACACGGATGACAAATGTGTTTACAGTTGAGCAATCAAGTGCAATGATCCATGAATCGTGAAAAGAATAAAATTGAACGAGAATTCCTCGTATTACGCGTGAAACAGAGTCCTAAATTTATTAACCCTTTGCACTCGAGGCCTTTTTTTATATCTACCAGCATCTCGAGATGATTCCTTAGCATTCTACTGCCGCGAATGCTAAGATTAGAATAAACTAATCTGAGATTTGAAAATTAAGTCACCCTCACCTCAGAGACTTCGAGTTGCAAAATAATTAAAGCTAAGCAAACATTATTGTTGGTCGATTTACTGCGTCGAATCTGGTGGTGACCGAGAGTCACCTTGCAGGAGAGATTTGTTCCTCGCCAATGAAGATGTTTCTTGCATTGCAAAGAAACTCTGTTTTCCATTTGTAAAATAAATTAAATTTTCTTCAAGATCCCTTCGTATTCGATGAAAATCGAGTTTGTCGTTACATTTCCGTGAAGTTGTTTGTTGGGCTCGAAGCGAGCAGCAATTGCAGAGGTCGAGCGCGTAGGCAGCCCGCGATTGTGGGAAGCAGAAAAATGGCAAGCATATTGTCGGTCTGTTTCCCAATCGTTGGAGACGGTGAAAGAGGAGAGGAGCAGAAGCGAAGCGCTGCCAGAATAAAATCGGAAATGCTCGTCGACTTCCCAGAGCAATTTTACAAAGTGGCTGTGCACGAAATCTGCCCTCGTGCTATTTCCATTGCGAGATGAACAACCAGACGACACATTAAACCAACCCCACCGCGGATCTATTACTTAACTGATTGTTTTCTGATGGCGCTAACCTTGGAAGTGGATTCTTTCAGAGGAGAAACCTCGGCACCTCAGGGGTGAGAACTTGCGGTGTCCATAACATAAATTGCAGAGTAAAACTGCATTTCTCAGACCCGAGACAGAGATTATTCAGCTTTCGAGCAAGTGCACGAGAAGATCAACGTCCTGTCAATCCCCGTCAAGATTAACCATCGTTCCACCGCACGCGTACAAGGAAGAATGGCAACGTAATTCGTCAGCAACATGACATGCCATTCACTCTAGGGCAATCGACGACGGGCAGCCTTTTGTTCGCGGACTCTCCCTGCGTGAAGAGCACGGATCACGGATTTTTCTCATTGCCAGGAACGTCTGCGTCGGGATGAACGCGGAGAGGGTTCGTCCCTGGCCATCCCTGTCATTCAACCTCGACGAAGGAGTCTGGGGTTACGATTAGAAATTTTCTAGCGTAGCGAAAATAACACCACCAAGAGCAATTGTTTATCCTATTTTCTAAGACACTGTATAGCGATAATATTGAAAATAATTGTAATACACGAAAGATTTTTTCTGAATATAACAAAGTAACTATATACAATAGTGAATCTGAGAGAGATACCAAAATACAAGAATACTAATAAATAATGTCGCAAATCAATTCTTCGAATAAATATTCGTTTAATTCTCGAACCGCCAAAGATGCGTTTTAAACGTGGCCTTGGTCTTGGGGTAGATCGAGGTTTACTCGATGAATCCGCACCCTTTCTTTCCGACGAGTCCTCACCACCCTCGCCTATTGTTTCGGGAATGAATCGACCCTGGCGTGGTCGATAAAGCGCGAAAGTAGCTTCGCCGCGACTTGTCGAACGGTTGCTTGCTACGGCCAGACGAAATCGAACGAAGCGGATGAAGTTCAACGGTGAAGTCTGTCTAGCCTCCAAAACTGAACTACGCTTGAACACTTTTTGGACGAGAACTTTCGATCCTACTATCTTCTGACTTGTTACATATATTCGTGTATGTTTTGTCTAGCTACAGGAATTTTTATCGATTCCTAACTTTTAAATTAATATTAATAAAATTTCTTAAATTTGTCCAAGCAAGAGCTTAGAGTGACTCGATGAAACTACACGACCACTATTAATTCTTGAGAAATTTATTAATACTGACAACTAACTCGCGTGGAAACTTGAAATAAATCGTTATGCAGAGCTTCTGTACGTCGTTTATAATTCAGTTAAAATCCTGTCCATAGCTGGCAGGGAGTGACACACCGAGAACGACGCGGCATGTATCACCGAAGGCAGACAAACCGCAATTCGTGTATCTCTGGGAACACGATCTGTCGGTTTGCATCCCCCGTGTAATCTTTCCGTCATTACACGACTGAATCGCTCGCTAATACGGCCGATAATGCGCAGCGGGAACAGTTTGTTGCTAGTGTTTCTCTACAAAGAACTCGGATTATGTAATCGGATCTACGCGAGAAAAGCAGATTTTGCAGTCAGTCGTTCAAATTGAGCGAGAACGATACGCTCGAAGGGAATTCCGACGCGAGTCGAGTGCGAGGCCGTAGGAAATGTCACGGGAAATCCTTTGATCGAGAAACAAACGTTGAACTCCGCTAACCGGAAGAGGGGAGCAAATCAAATATCGAGGCATGGAAATGGCGTAACATTTCCATTAAAAAAAAAAAAAAAAGGATACACGAATCTCCAGGAAGCGAGTTAACACTTGGTAAATAGAACAAAACGATGATGTCTCACAAAACTGTGTATCTTCGTTAAAATGATTGATATCGATACCCTAAACATTTCTTAACGTAATAAACTGATACAATGGATGTTCGAATGCAATACAATGCGTGATTTATTTTTATTTAAACGCGAAGACTTTCCTACCCATGATTTATTCATTAAAACGAATTAGGCTTAAATTGCTTCCTTTATGGGACGAGGATGAGGGCTTGTGGTGCGTGGAAGTCTGTTAGCTTCTCACCTGCAACCAGGTGTGCATAATGGAAGTCATATTGTATGTAGGAATCCAAAGGAGATGGAAACATAACGGTTGAAGTGCTTCTGTGCATCAGGGTTTACAAGTGTAGACATTTTGATTACGTTTATTGATTCACTCGTGAAACGTTAACGTTTATTCCCAGACATAAAAGTTGAACCTGTTGTGAGTAATTATGTGGTTAATAGGTAAACAAGTCTAAGTTTGCTTGGCAGGTCGGACAATCCTCTTGTCTGTAGCTTATAATGATGGCTGGGGTAAAAAGGATTTAATCCTTGGGGGTACTCCTTGTTTATTGGATATTAGACAAGTTTGCAAAGTTTAGGTAGACCTTAATGGAGCCCTCTTCGAGGAATCACCTTCTTCCTAGCCTATTATTACACGTAGCTGTTATGTGCTAGACTGACTTATTTACAATATTATAATAAAACAATGTATACAAAAGATTCTTCCAACCAAGAGGACCATCTATGCTACCAAACAAACCTGGAGCACTTGTTCATCCACTAGCTAAACAAGTACTCATCGTTACCCAAACCCGACAAAAAACACAATTGCATTTACGTGACTCACTCACTTGAAACTATAATATTAATCCTTTTCCAGATAATTAAAAAAGTCGAAACGTCGTTAATTAAATCTGCTCGCGATAATGACTGAACTTTGATCTCTATTTATTCGTACACGGGCCAACAACCTATGGTAAACAGTTGTAAATGTATTCGTACTGCTATAGGGAGATTCAAGAAACAATCTCAGAGTATTTACTTCCTTTTAGCCGTCTGCTTGCACGCCTTGGACATTCACGTGACACGTAAGGAAGTCGAACAACTCACTGAAAGACGCATCACACACGCGACGACTCGGAGAACGGAAGCACGGAACCGGAAGCACGTGGCTCGGCCGTACGAACGACGTCGCACGGCGTACTGGCACGACGCTGGGCGTCGTGTCGTCTCTGCGACGGCGCCCATAGTCCGAAACGCGCGTCTACGTGCAAGTCCATTGCACGCGTCGAAAAGCGTCGTCTACGTCTCCATGGTGAATCCTATCTGGAAACACGAAACTACTGAATGGTATTTATATTGCGCGAACGAACACCTCGCGGCCAGTTTGGACGTATTCTCTGACGCATTTCTAACAGAACAATTTTTACCCATCGACCGTGGAACTTGTTTGTAAGGTGGTCGACATCGATTTCTGATATACAGTCAGCGGCAAGAGTCTACACTCCAGCAAATTGCAATGTGGTAGTAATTGGATTTGATGTGTGTTTAGATGTTGGAATGCTTCAGGCATCGAAAACAATTTGAATATAGGAGGAGGGGATGTTTACTATAGGGAAAGCAACAATCTTGTAAATTTTATTTTAGTCCAATTAAATTACTAATTATTATCTTGAACAAGGTCTACATTATGGACCCAAACATGCATTGATAAATCTATGTTTTTTTAAATTGAAAGCTATCAGGACGATTAATTTCCCTACTACCACCTGAATTTTTATAATATCGAATAAAAAGTGCTCCTACGATTGATTCCGATAATTACGATAGACGAGGAGACCGATATTTTTGTCCTGTGTGTACCACGAAATTTTATACGCGCTATCCACGCAACGAAGTACGAGCATACTATGTGGAAGATGGTGTGGGAAAGAATCGATCTCCAGAGAGTCTGGTCGAGTGTGGGTGAACGCAGACAGAGGAGAAAAAATGTCTCGACTACGCCGCTGGAGAATTCTTGGAGCACGGACCCATATTGGACGAGATAAAATGTTCCAATTAATGGTAACGAGTAATGCGATGGAAAATGAGTTTATATCGGGACGAAAACTCTAGATGAAACACGTAAGCGCGCTTTTTATTGATCGCCAACCCCTACTACATCGCGCGCAAAACCTACCTAATCGGTGATAAATGAAAGCATACAATATTTATGCAACCATGAGTCAATATATACTCGAATAAACATTTTTTGGTTCGATCTGGCAACACCTACTGTTGCTATGTTTTATTAAAAATTGTTTTCTAAACGTGCTCGCTAAATTTAATAACGATTACATAAGATATGTGCAATCGTATATGCTGACGGCTCAAACTAACAACAAAGATTAGTTTCGCACTACTTAGGTTTCATTATGTCGATTATCTCATTAGAAGGCGAGAAACGGACCATCTCAGCACTTTATACCGTCAAGAAATATTATACGTCAATTAGTTCACGTAGGAATCTGATCGCCAAAACGAAAAAGGAGAATCGAACGTGGAATACTGATTGCGGTAAAAATTTTCAAGGAAAGCTTGTTAATGCAACTAACAACTGTTATCTACCAACTCTAGCGGAACTACACATTAATTTGAAACCTAACGTTACAATCGAGTATATTACTTTTTCTAATTATATTGTTTAAAGCAAAGACGAGCAAAATAGAAGCAGTTTGGATAAAAATTTTGCTATTAGAAGTTTCAAGTGTCTTCTGATGATCTTTGCTTGGAGACAATGTTTCGTACCAATGAACTCGAAACACAATTCACTGGTATTGTTCCAGCACCGAAAGGGTGGTCGGAGAAGCGACGCAGCCTTCAGGAATGGACTAGATCAAGTGTCTACCCTGTTCACTGTTTCAGCCACTCAAGAACGGCGGATACTTGAGCTCCAGGAAGCACTCGACATGCACCGATCGTTAACGCTTCGATTAACATATTGCGTGATAAACAGTACCCTTGTATTTCGCAATTACTATAATAATTGGTATCGTTCCAATATATCAATTGTAAAGTAATTTATTTTACGATTCGATCTTCATAAACAAGAAGGCAAAGCGTGAAGGAACACGTGTAAAAGTGCGTCGAATTAACAGCTAATTAGAAGTATAAATATGTAAGAAACATCTTCACGTGTACAGAAGTACAAACATTCAATTTCGAAGGATTAATCTTGATGAAAGTCTAATTAAATGAATAAGGTTTAATTCATTAACACTTCTTAATTGAAACCATTCAATTAAGAAGTGTTAGAAATGTAGCTTTAAAAAAATACGTGAATTTGGGATTTCAATTAAAATATTTTCCTTGAATCTCAGTTGGTATTCAAGGCACAGGTACATTTTTCTTATCGCTTACGCATTTACGGAACGTAATAGAATCACATAGTTCAGCGAATAAAATGAAACCGAGTGTGCACGTGCTAATTAGCGTGGCATGTCCGTAAGCTAAGCAACCCCTGCAACATTTCCGTTCTACCGAAGAATTAAATAGTCCTTAGCAATCATCCCGTGTCGCTGGTCGTAATCACCTCGCATTCCTGCGGTACGTAAGGCGAGTCTAAAGAAAATGCAGCATCATTCGATGTAAATACCACTGTGCGAGAGATTATACCGCCAAAGGAAAATTATGATTGCGCGTAAAGGGAAACGACAAATTTAAGCCAATCTGGCGAGGAAAAGTAACAACAACTTATGGTTTGAGAGAATAATACCGAAATGAATATTTAACCGCGATCGTTTCACCGCGTGATGAATGATTTCCTTAAATAATTATGATGAATGTTGTATCATCACTGACACTGTTCCTTTATGTGGTGTATTACGCATTGTTTTAGATATATGTATTAAAATACGGATGACTGTCACGAAGTATGTCCTCATCGTGGATGTAAACGTTAATAAAACATTTTGCTTTCGGATTGCTTTCACGATTACAATTTAATAATGGATGAAAAATGATACGACATTATTTCCAATTTCGTTAACTAAACCATGCACCGTGGATAGTAAAAATGAATGACGAGTGTTTTCAAACAACGATTAAATTTCCATCGTTTGTTTTAGGAATCTACTTTCACGACACACATACCCAGAATAAGTGCCGCGATGGAAGGTTATAAAAGCGGAAAGGAAAGTATGATAATGCGATTAAGACCCGAGTTGGAACAATGAGAAGGGTGTATAATCTTCTGTAAATGAAGTCGCGCTGAAAAACGGCGAGGCAGACGGGTTAAAGTATGCGAGAAAGTTCCAATACCGTCTAGAAAATCGGACTACTTCGGGTATAAGATACGTGCCCCGAAATCCTATCGACTTCCTCTGGATTCGCTCCCTGGCCACCTTGTTTCCAAGTGATGAGCATGTTTTATTCATGCTCGCCATTCATGGCGGCTGAACTCCGAAAGATTTACAACCGTCAGATGCTCGTCTCGTGGACTCTGATTTTTCGTGTATCGTTTGCTTTGGATAAATAAGAACATCCGACACGATGTTTGGACTAGTGCAAATTTTATTCACGAAGGTAGCTTGGAATCGAACATGATCTTAACCATGACATACCTCGAATTCGTGTATAATTAAGAACGTAAAGGAGGGATTGAAAGCTTGAAAATTTTGGAAAATTAGTACTAGTAGATTTTTACCTTGCATATTCCAATTCAATTCTTTCTTTTTCAATTTATCGACTTAATTCGCCCCGTTAAAATATACAAAAATAGAACGGTTCATTGAACAGAAGCTAAATAAAAGGGCAAGGGTTCAGCGAACAAGATTACTTTCCAACTAACCCGACATAATGCTTAATTATGAACACAATACCCATGATCTCAGGAATGCTACTGGAAGTCGGTGTAACTTCTTCTACCGCAGACTCAGCGTGCAATAACTGTCGCGATAAACATTATATATTTTATATATCTCCGCGAACGTATGTTTCATTTTATGGGATTACGTTGGAACTATCGTGAGGGTTCCAACGGCCAAGGCAGGCGGTACCCGTGTGTGATACCGGTCCCTCTGACCTCTCCTTGACCCTCACCTATACTGAACTCCACCAGCTGAGATGGGCTTCTGCGTAAGAAACATATCGATACACCGTCCACGTGCACCTCCATCCAGCCTTTGCGGAATCCTCAGGATCAAACCAACGACCAACCGCGATCCTCGAACGGGATTCGATCACTGCTACGTCTGACCTCTTCGGAATCGACATGAGTATACGTCAGTCAGTGGATTTGGGTTAATTTTGACCCATGTTAACAATGTCACAATTGAGACGAATGCAATGTTATGTCGTCCATGGAACATCATGGAGGCTCTTTTCTTTAGGGATCCTTATTAGAACTTCGTGAGTGTACGTTTATTTTACTTTGTAATAATAAATTTCCTTCGCACATTCTGTCCACGATTACCTCTCCTCGTAGACGTCAACGAGAAAGATGCCATCCGAATATTATGTTCGATCCGTTATCTCAAGTTTAATACGAAATAACTGCGCATCTACGTACGCGCGTAACTCAAGACCGCGTAACTCGAGAATTTACTGTACTGTCCTCGAGCATCCTCTCGCGCGACTGGTATTCCCTGGGAACCTTTACGGAATCCTGCGAACCGACGAACAAACCGAACCAGGAACTAACAGTGATCCTCGAACACGATTTGATCAATAGCGTTTCTGGCCTCCTTAGAATCTACATGGGTCGTTACAACCAACGACTGTTCTAAGTAAAAATAAAACAGTAGCCTTCTCATCTGCAGTACAACTAATATTAAACTTCCCATTCTCAGAAAATGCAGTGAAGTTAATATTGTCTTTCTGGTGCTCCAAAATATACATAATTAATATTGATCAAGCCACACTTTAAGAACACTTTGCGTGTATTTGCGGTCCAGGAAGGAGTATTCATCATCTGCGTCGTCCAATTCGTTTCGTGGCCACTTCACCACAGGAAGTCTGACCAAAAGAAGGGCATGCATATTCGGATTTACGCGGATGCATCCGGGAGCAGCGACGCTTCGTGGAGCAACGTTCGTTCCGGACTGCGTGCTTCCTTTAATTGACCATGTGCCTTCCTCTCCTCTCCTCTCCCTCGAACCACCAAGATGATGTATGTCCTATCTTTGGCGTTTTCTTTGCTGGACTGTTAAACCGTGCACGCAGTAAGTCGAGTCCCCTCTGGTTGGAAAATCGGGGAAACGGTCGAGGAACGACCGAGGAAACGAGAAATTGCTTCTGTCGCGGGTGCCGAGAAGAATTCTAATGGACGACGTCGTCGTGCAGGCAACCATTTTCCGTTTGCTCTTATTGTTCGTTTAACTGGTGCATTTTCCACCTCGTCGTCTCTGACTTTAAATTCTGTTGAACCTGTCTTGTAGAAGAAAATGGTAGAATGATCCCTTGAATTGTAGGCAACCTCGTGGACTTCATTTTAAGTATAGATTTTCAAATAGAAGCGTTTAAACGTCTTATGGTATTCTAAACAAAACCTACGCCTTTAAACTTGAAGAATCATTCCATTTTATTAAAATACTGAAAATGAGTTTATTTCGATCTCACATCTGGGAGATTTTGATGTCTATTTACGTATTCTTAACTTATCACGGCATTAAGTCGATTCAAAGCTAACAAGCTCCGCTCTGAAGAAGAGAAATATACAATTCCAACAGTTCTTTTCAAACCGTAATTTGTCAGTCTTTCCGCAAACTGTTATTTAAACCGTGCAAGCCGCAGACCTCCGTAATAATCGATACCGGTTCGAAGGGGCCATTAGGCGGAATCCT